GAAGCTAGAGGACGTGGGGGGGGGGGTTCCACCTGGCAACCGTTATTCTCCTTTATAAGCCACAAGTGTCTGCTGATAGCAACCGGAATTGTGCGAATAAGACCAGCTGTTATAGTTCCACAAGGTGGGTGCCTGGTAGAGGATCGCTGCTTATTGCAGATTAGAGTTGGCATATCAGTAATTTGGCATTATTATAACAGTCTGTAGTTATTCTCTGGGGCACAGCAATTCGCCCTCAGTAGTCTTGTTAATTTTTGATCCCTGAAGGAAATCGCCAACCGCATTATTTTGCATACTACTCACAAATAAGGTTATTGCCATTTGCCTACTCCACGAGTAGGATAAGGTTTGACAGCAGTGTATGAGTTAAGCACTAGCTACCAACCCTCAGACCTCACGGACTCGTTGGGTACTGGACTGGCGCTGAACCACCGAAAGGTGTATGAACCGTTCTGACGGTCACAGGCTACCCGGTTTCTCTGCGAGTCGCATTGGGTTATACGAAGTGCATCCTCGAACTAAAGCCGAGCGACGCTGTGGACGTCCAAAGTTTCTTCATGGATTGTCTTAAAATGTTACACCACGTTCATGCCACGGCGTTCGCGGGAGGCGACGCCCTCTCCCAATGCCTGGGGATGTCAAAAGAGCACGCTGGGAACCTTAATCATGTGTACATCAAATCTAACACCCATGTGGCTTGCTGGAATGTGAGGAAACTTTTATACAAAAGAAGCCACTGCCTTACAATGCGTTCACTGCACAACTATAAAGTAGGCTACTGTTATCTGTCCAAAGTCCAACTACCTAACTGTGGCAAAAGACAAAGTAACGTACCACAGCAATGCGGCCTACCCCTTATACCACAGCGGACCAACCAAATACCCAGATTCTCACAGAGAAGCAATCACCGTGAGCAACCGCATCGACAGTACCAGGATTGCCAAAGCGTGCATTGGGGGTAAGCTATTAACCTGAATATCATCGCTGTCTACACTCCAACGTTGAGTTCGAAAACGCCCATCAAAGACGGTTTCTGTAACCAAGTTCAAGACGCAGTCCGAGAAGGAATATTCACTTTATCGAAGAAGACAGGAATTCACGCACTGGTCCATCTAACGAGCACACAGCATGTTCTGAGTAAGTTTGGTTTCGATTAGTGTTGCGATAACGGCGACGCGTAGTCACATTTGCTTGCCTTTACCGGTTGGTCGTTACCAACACCCGTTTTCAGCACCCCAGAATACACCTACTCTCTTGGTACTCAAACGACAGTTGAACCGCACTGGCTTGATTAAATTTTACTACGTGCTCCTTGAGCTTCTTCATTGGAAGACTTCCGTTCCTGTTTCGGCGCCGAAACTGGAGTCAGGAACGGCGCGGATCATTTCTTGTGCGTGCCCACCTCAAGTTCCATCTGACTGATTTCCGGAGNCGGAGAACTCTCCGTTCCCAGGCATGTTCAAAGTCGCTCTCTTGGATCTAATTGAGAAAAGGCAGGCACTGCTGAATGTAACCGCCTCCAACGTAGCCGCAACTCCTTTGGACGATGAAACTGTTGACATAGTGGTTCACACTGAGGACAGTAATTAGTGAATCGGCGCTGGGTCAGTAAGGTAAGACTCTTCGCCTGGGTCTTTGATCGAAATGCGGAAATTATAAGGGTAACAGCCTGATTACGGTATTACGGCCAAATTGCTTGCGGTGATAATTCTTAACCACTTCACAGCTGCCAGAGATACACCCATCCTAAACCACGGAAGAGGTTGTGTTGAACAATTCTTCACTCTTCGTAGGATCCTGGGACACCGCTTCAAGTTCCAACAATCTACCACAGTGGATTTCATCGAATTCCGCTTTGCCTTTGACTCTGTCTATGGGGAATTCTTGTGGTGCATATTGAGGCCCGACGGGATATTCAAGAATTTCCTCAGGCTTTCAATTTCGTACTACTCGCGTACCCGGGCACGCGTCCGTACATATGGAAGAATCAGCTGCGTATACACTAAGATCTGGAGTCCGGCAAGGTTGTCCCCTATCGCCGGTGCTATTCAATTATACTGTAGGTTAGATAATGCGACAAGCATTCATCGACTACTCCGGAGTGTCGCTTGGCCCAGGTACATGGATGGCAGACCTCGATTCTACGTATGATANTCGCACCTGGGAATACCAAGGAGACACTCTAGTCCAACGATTCATCAGATTGCCTAGGCTATTCGGTTAGAAAAACCAAGGAATTTTCGATAGACACTTCTGCCACGACATAACCCCTCAACTACCGTGGAGCTTGTCGAAACAACCCAAGTTTTCAAGGGTCTTGTCTCTACAACTAGAACGAACGATCAGGCTGAGGATGAAATCTAAATTCGTGTGGATGGAGCTATAAGAGTCTGCCTGTAACCGTTCACATCGATGTGGAACCGATGCGAAGTAACGCTAAACAATGAGCGTCGGTTTTATAGGTTTCCATTCGTCCCAGCCTCACTCACTTTGTGAAACATGGATGTTAAGAGCACAAGATACAAGGAATCTCTTTGAGCATCTCGGAAGGAACTTTTAGAGATGATATTTTCAATGATGAGGTTCAATGGCGCTGTTCGAACATCGGCAAACTTTCGATAATGTTACAACTCCGGCGCCTTCGTTTGTTTGGCCATGTGCTCCGAAGATCCGACACTCAATTCTGGCTGCAGACGGTACCACCCGCGTACATCTGCGGCGGGCGTTGCCGACTCTGGCCAGCTGATAACCTGCGGTAGTGCGATCAAGGTGGATATGCAACTGATGGATCCCAACGATATCTCACACTGCGCCAATCTTGCCGCCCATTGACGTGTGGGCTGCCAAAAAATAACAATGTCGTAGATTGAGAAAAATTGCGATCAATCTGGTTTATCTAACCTCGTTAATGCAAGAGGGATAAGCCATTCACTCTACATACACTTCTACATGTCACTGTTCGCTGAGGTCGGTTCTCGGTATGTTCGCTTACTCGATAACGCAGTTATCTATTCCTGTTGCCGATATATCATCGGATTCTACACCCTTTGGACGGGGTGAACCGTCCAAGGTGCAAAACATACTTGGATACCCAACCGAGCAGGTGACCACCACCACAACTACTAAGGTGATTCGGACCCGTCTTCAAGGTTTGGAATCAGAGCTTAACCGACTTCCTTAGGTGAGGTACCATTGGTTCATTAACCCGGGGAGCCTTTCAGAGTCTAGAGATTATCAAACATTCACGGAAACCATTTCATTTTGAATTCATGATGCCTTCCGATATAACGCTTACAGCTTATCATAACAGTGAACGTGCTTTGTGATTTGCACGGTACGTGGCAATCCTGTTTGTCTACTTCCAGAAGCTGTTTCGCCAAAACACTTGAGGCTGTGAGTAGATATAAGTGAAGGAACAATATGCAGTAAAAGCGGATCGCGCAAATAGGAGTGGTTTTGCCGTGGAAAGGTTTTGAATGTAAACAAGCACAATAAACCAAATGCGGTAGACACAGCAGCCGTAAATTGCAAAGTCCATGATATGGTCCGTTCACGATTTCGGAGAGAATCAACGACAATTTCTAGATCAACTAAGGTCCACAGCAGTGACTTAGCTTAGTGGTTTACAAGAAATAAACGTCCTAAACCGAGGTGACTTCCGCCACAACAGATAGGCTGGCTAGCGCAAGCCGATTAAGATGACCTTGTTGGTGACTGTCACAAAGGCACTGTTAGTGTCTGCAATTCGGAACATCTCCAATCAATACCAATCTCGCGGAGAATAATCAATCATATCGCGTCATGCGGAGACATTCACTCCGTCCGTCCGATCCGTGATCGATTGAAATTCGCTCACTTCGTGACTTATGATCGATCGAACTTTCCTAACTGTACTTGATTGGCATAACCTTTTATCGCATTAATCGATGCCATTTTGAGACACATATAAGCATGAGAGTAAAACTCGTAAATTGACTTGACTTACTTTCCTGTGTGTCGAATACACGTTCGCTGTGCACTAACTGTGTTCTTGCTTACGTAGCTGGGAGAAGGCTACTAGTGCTCGTGGCGTCCAATCTGTGCTGTGATCGTACTCGTGAGGCTAGATGAATAGTGTGGCCGTTGAGTTACGTGTGTTCCTCGTGTGTCATCGTGTGATATCTTGTTGTGTGTATATTGTGATCAATCGAGATGCGGACATAACAGGCACACCGTGCGAAATGAAGGTAGTCTGTTCGAAAAAACGCAGTATTGCTAGACTGCGAGCGGACAGCACTCTGATATATACCCCTATGGGCCTCATTCGGCTCAATCAATCTAATGAACAGAACGAGAAGATCCCAAACGAAGGAATTCAGGGGTGACCGTCATATAGTCAAATCAGAACCGGAATGTTTAGCAGGTTGTAATATGGATCTGCTCCGTGTGNTGTGTTCAATTCACGGAACCAACTATAGAAAAGTGTCGATGAAGAGAATGTTTTCATAGGAACAGGTGGAACGTTATCACGAATCTAGAACAGTGATCGAAGAAGATCATCTTGTTTTATTATCGGGTGGTCTTGATAGAAGCGCTCGAAGGGCAGGTTTAACATACAAGTAACAATTTTTTTCTGACATATTTGGTCCAGACTCATTCAATCTGCTAATTCAGTTATACATGTTTCTGTAGACATGTAATAATTTTACTTTTATCCAATCGTATTAATTGCTGACAGACCACTTTTTTGTCTAACAGAAGTATCTCGTTGTTTCTTCGTCAAATTCCCCGTGGAGTAATTGAATCATTATATTGCTTGATTTGACTGACTATCCTTCACGCACAATCCTCAGTTCATCGATTCAACCATACAGTCGGAAACACTAGACTCGAGTTCCGCTCCTATTAGAGCTCATCAGTAGTGCATATCCACCGTCCTGTCCGGGATTTGAACCCCGGACCCATCGCATGGAAGGCGAGTGCGTTACCATTGCGCCAACCAGCCCATGCCCTGGCTGAATCAAATTGCCAATTCATGTTTGTTCAGGTGTTGTCTTGAATGGTAGTCAGTCAGTTCATTTGCTCGACAGCAACGAGTCTAGTGCTTCCGACTGTATGGTTGAATCGATGAACTGAGGATTGTGCATGAAGGTGAAGTCCGAAGAATAGTCAATCAATATCGTTCATCCCACACACACTACTCACAAGTAACTGTGAGTTAAATACATAAATCAGTATAGCCGTACCACTTCTAAGATCCAGCACTTTCGGATCATGAACCAATGCCATTTACCGCATCTATCATTTTTATTTTAATTTTATCCATTAGCGGCAGGTATCTGAAGTCCATTAAACCTTGCATTTTGAAGACGGTCTAATATGTATACCTATTATTATTTGTCTAGCAAAAGTTGAGGAGGAATGAATGCATTCTGATGGTGAGATTATTAGTGATGCGATTCAAATTAATTAATTAATTAATTCAAATTAATTATCGTAGCTTATTTTCGTGATGAAATGAGAGTTCCTTGGTATTCCATCGTTTTCCGTCTTCAGTGCCCTATCAGGTTATTTGTTTAATTAAACAGTATACACTCTGTCTTCATTGATTGGTTTAGCGCAATATCAGTGAAGGAGAATAGTTTCACAAAGCTGGTTATGCTACGGTCAGTAAGTAGTCGTAAGGTCAATGGATGGTAAGCGATCGCTCGAGGCTCCTAAATATTCAACATTGGTTCCCGATAGACGGAAATTGTTGTATATTTTATTTACTAAAACTGCTTACAAACCCTCACGTTCCATTTTATCATATTTTCACTTTATTTTGCTTTCCTTTTTCCTTTCCTCTAACGTGATACTATCGATGCTACCTGCTTTAAGAAACTGCGAAGGAAAGCGAAGTATTAAGAGGTACAGGCGAACCCGACAAATTTTGTAATCCTGCACGAATGGAATTAGCTGTTGTTCAAAGTAGCTGTTCGTTGGTAATGTAAAAAACCTGTGTTCATCACCGAGGAGAATGAGGTCGTTTTCTGAAACAAGTCAAGTCAAGGAATGACAGTGAAAAAAGAAAGATGCTTTTTGACAGTAACCCGTAACTCACTCACTGTAAAAAGATAACCTTGGTTATCTGGCATTGCCGCTAAATCGCTTAGGTGCCTCCTATATAGCCACTCCACTTGACTTCAAAATCATCCGCGACAATTGCAATGTTTAGTTCACACACGAAAACCATGAGGGCAAACAATTTTCAGATGAAACTTTCATTTTCAGCGAAATGTGTACAGACATCTTGCGTAAATTCAGCGATCTTCCATTCAATCAGCGAGCTATTCAGCCCCGTTATCGGTGATTTCGTCTATTGTATCCGAAAGCGAGCACTCTGTCTGTATCCATGTTAAAGCAACCGCTGATCGGTGTGGTTTTTCGGATACTTGGAACCGTTCAGTCAATTTTTAAACATGTTGCCCGCTTCGGCAACGAATTGGTCTCTCTGGTTCTGTTAAGGAAAACATTTAATTAAGAAACACCACCCGGGATATTTTCATCTTGTTGCAGCTCTGGGATAAACGTCAACCGGGTCCTGGTCTAACTATCAAACGAGAAGATGAGAACCCAACAAACCCCGCATTTAACACAATCAATGACTTGGCCGTGGGTAACCGCGACAAGAAATGGCTCTATGCCGCAACGGATGATGGATCTCTGGCAGTGTATAATCTTCGTCGACGTCGTTTGGATATGGTTTCCGACACCCTGGGTTATAGTGCTCGATCTGTAGCTGTCATTCATGTAAGTATTTTCATCGCTTGATGAATTGACGAACGAATTCGTTTTTCACATGTGTTATTATAGTTAGAAACTTTAACAATTTTTGTTACTCATTTCAGTATGAGGGATGTTAGATGAAACCCCGCATTCATGAAAGATTACCTTTCTGTAACCGAAACCCCGAATCTAACACTTGGAATTAGACGGCCTCAGATATTGATTTAATCGATTTGGCGATGATCAAGTTGATATGAAAGCTGCAACAGAGTATAATGTTGGAGATATTTGAACCTCCGACCTTGTGGGCCAAAAGCGTGCATTCCAACAGCGTCCCCCTAAAACATTCCCAGAGATATGCATAAATCGCATATGCACATATAGTCAGGTTAACGCCCTGATAGTTTTATTTTGTCATTCACTGTAAGTCCTAGGATTTTAAAAAAATTTGACCATTGATCGACAGGTGTCCACTGCGTTTTGTATTCAGCACCTCCCTTTCCTCTCTGTTGATGATTTCAGAATGACAGTCATGTCGTTGTGGGCACCGAAGAAGGAGTACTTTGCCAATTCCATGCTGATGAGTACGAAGCGTGTTCAGAACGGTTCCCTTTAAAGT